ATCAAATATTATTTTAAGGTTTCTACATTTTAATGGAAACTACTTGGAACCTTTAAATCAAATGTCTTTATTAAATGTGGTAAAAAGTTAACAGCTTCAAATCCTAAATTAGGAAAGAAATATGGAATCTAAATTAGTAGTAACATTCTCACAACTATAACATGTTAACCAACAGGTGAATTATTTGTTATAATATTTAATTTTTGTAAGATCTATGTATAACATTTAAATATATGAGATAATCCTGGTGAAAACTTTTAATTATTTATAATTTCCAATCCCATTGGCCATAATAAATCATAAAAATAATGATCTTAGGAAAGTGTTGTCAATATCTTTTATGCTCTACTCTTTAATAGCTTTCAAAATATAAATTTGAATCTTACTTCTAAAGTAGTTTCAAATGGAGCTGCTCTTTATTTTCCATATTCTTCCAATTCTTTATCATGTATTGATACTTAATTAAATAAATAAAATAGTAAGGCTTTAACATCCAAATAAGTTTAATTAATTGGTAATTCTTCATCTTTAAGTTTGTAGTATATTTGTAAAATAATTTCGCAAATAGCATATCTTACTTCACAATCTTATTCAAATTATAAATTTAATAATTATAACACTAATTATCTTTTGTATGGTTCAGAGATCTACTTGAAATTTCTGGACAAAATGAAATTGCAAATCCATAGACATGATACTCTCTCTATGGAATCCTTACTCTAAAAAATACATATATTTAATTACATTAATTCTACCAATAAATAAATCTAAACAATTATCTATATTGAACTTTGATACTGTCTGTAAAAGAGTTAATAAATCATTTTTATACTTTAAGGCATTTGGATCAAATGGATAATTAGGAGAGAAGATTGGATTCTTATAAAATTCATACAATGACACCATAATTGATTTTATAATTCCCTCATATCCAATTCTATCTAAATGATATAATCTTTCCAAAAATTTATTAAAACCTTCAAACAATGGTCGTAATTAATTGCTTTTTTGTTTCAAAACACTCAAATAAACCGAAGTCAATCGTTCTAAACTTCGCTCTAATCTCTCTCTAGATATAAATTAACTCATAAATCCAACCAAAGACAACACTTAAACTTAAGTGGTTGTTTACATCCAATCTTTGATGATTTAGTCAAAAATAAGCCAACTCACATTTTAAACCTATTCCTGATTAATTTAGACTTAATTCTCTTCGAAATGATTAAGTGTTTTATAAATGGATTATAATAATGAACAATAATCTAATCTACATTGATCAGTCTTCACAAGAGAGAGAGATGACAAAATCTTTTATAATATTTCGTATGAAAATTGTCTAAAGTATTCTTTACCTAAACAAATTTATTTAAAACTTTACTTTATGATTCGAAAATCTACTAAATGATCTTCAAAATAACTATTTCAGGAACACGTCCTGATTCAAAAAAATCAGAAATATGATTGATAATCAATTCATCAAAAACATCCATTAATTTAATATGGATATCAGTGAGCAATTAATTCAACTCCTCTGAAATTTAAGGTTGACTCAGAATTCGATTTATAATTCGTTTTAACACTTAAGTACATTATATGACTGCTAATTTGGCTTCTTCTGTTCGAATTAATAACCCAGCAACTTAAAGAGTTAATCGAAGTATTCTAATATATTCGCTATTAATTTCAGCCATCTAAAATACATTTAATAAGTACTTCATCCAAAATCTCAGAACATTTACACAAGTAAACAACAGGATGCTTTTACATTACTTAACGACTTATTTGTTCACTCTGCTTTTCATCTCCATCTCTTATGAATTACAAAATCAAACCTATGATAACACTAATTACTTACTTTCCAGCAGCTAATTCATTTTAATTATTAATAAATAATATAAATGTCATTTAAAGAACTTATTTAATCTTCTCTAAGTAAACTTATAATTTTTAATACGTGTACTTAATAAATAATTTAGTAACTCTATTCTTCATATTGTATTACTACTTAGATATTTATAATGACGAGTTACTACACAAACAAAATGTTAGGAGATTATATTAAATTAAACAGACTTTTTTTAATTTAACAAAATTTAAACTGAATGCAACGAGTACCACAATATGTCTAAAGACCTGTAGTTTAAGACTCTTTCCGTTAGTCCTTCAAATAGACACCTGATAAAGAGAACTCATATGCATAATTGCAAAAACGAAAACCTATACAAGCTTATCCTCAATATCAATCCACTTAGACCCTCCAAAAACCAGAAATGCGTCCTAATTCTTCCCAACCTAGACAACCTTCAGTATAGGCTGTACCAAGACCATCCTCAGCATCTAATGATAAAAGAGCATTTTCTAATTAGAAACAACCATCTAGATGTTCATTTAAGGAATTAAAGAACTCAACATACATTCAACCATAATAAGCTACGCCTTAATCAAGATATTATTCATTAAAATAGGTTCCAGATAATAGTCTTATTAAATCATAATCTAATTAACAGTTGGCAAACAAATAAATTGATTAATCAGAATATAAAAAATTACACGAAAAATTGTTATTTTTAGAAAATAAGATCAATAAAATTAAGTCAAATATTGAAATAAGCAATTCATAATTATAGAAATAATCAGAGAGAGCAAAATAAAAGCCAGTTGGTTTGGCAGCTAAATTTTTTTAAAAAAAAGACTAAGAAAATAATGAACCCAAAGAAGCAAGCACTCCAAAAGAATTAACAAAATGTGCAACTGCACTTAATCTATAACTTAATAAAGCTTTAAAGTAAAGTTAGATTGCTAAAGAGTAATAATCAAGTATTAATCTTGATCAGTTTGTTACATAAGTTAAGCAAATAAAAAAACCTATTTAACCATTATAATAATAATAATAATAATAATAATAATAATAATAATAATAATAATAATCATAAATTAGTAGACATCAATCTTTAGAAATTAGTTAAACAGCCATTCCAATCACAAAAACAATCATTAATGAAAAATCATATTCATCATAAAAACCAAAAAAAGATGAAAATGTATTAATTTATTCTAAAATTAGTTTCTTTATTATATTTCAAGTGTGATGAGAGCATTATATTAAGAATAAAGTAATAAAAATGATGAAGTCATCAGAGATCACATTGTACAAACTATCTAGGTATGTTTTTGTATATATAAATTAGGGTTTAGAATATGCTAGAAATTTACAATTATAATTTTAAGAGGACAAAGTTATGAATCTACCAAAATCTACACATTTTAAGACTTTAGTTTTTGATTTAGATGAAACTCTTATTCATTGTAATGAAAGTGTATCTGTTCCTGGAGATGTTGTATTACCCATCACTTTCCCTACAGGAGAAACTATCTAAGCATCCATCAATATCAGACCATTTGCTTAATAAATTCTTTAAACATTATCTCGACATTTTGAAATCATTGTATTTACAGCTTCTCATTCATGCTATGCTAATATAGTATTAGATTACTTAGACCCAAAAAAACAATGGATCAGCCATCGTCTATTTCGGGATCATTGTTTATAGACTGAGGAAGGAGCTTATGTTAAAGATTTAAGGTATTTTAATTAAATATCTTTAGAGTGTTAGGCAATAGAAAATTATCTAATATTCTTTTGATTGATAATGCTAGTTACTCATTTGGGTAATAAATCGATAATGGAGTACCAATTATAGCATTCTATGATAATAAATAAGATTAAGTAATCAATTTGTTCAAAATTAGGAATTATTATATTTATAAAATTATTTAATGAAATTTAGAATGGTTACTGATGTTAGAGAACTGAATTCATAATTATTGAAGATGAACTCTTATACAAATTATTAAGATCCTTTACATTTGGTCTAAGATTTATTCCCTGATTATTTACCAAAATGATTTGTTGTACTTTCATTTATAAATAATAATATTATATAAATCATTCTATTTATCTTTTCCTGATATTTTTATATTCAGCAAATCCTTCTAATCCAAAAGGAATGAAATATATTTAATAAATAATTTAGAGTAAGCAATTCTTTTGATAAATTCTCCTTTAGTGCATAATACTTTCTATTTACTTTAACCAATAAAATCTTTATATCTACATAAGAGATAAATTTATTTTTTTATATCATGTATATATTATTTTTTAGATTGACATTAATATCATAAATATAATGAAAAAGATCAATAATTAGAAATATGAATTAAAAATTTGTAAATAATATTTAATCATCAATTAGGAAGGTATTTTTATAAATGAAGCAATAATTATGGATTCTTTACTTTGACTAATTCATGTATCTGAGAATCAAAATATATATATTTACATCTTTTATTTTTGCATTTAATATTTAAAACTTAGATTTTACTGCTCCATGTTTATAGTAGACATGTTATTTAATGATTTCTTCATCCCCTGCAATCATTTCGAAAGTAATTAAAGTCAATTCTTTATACTCCAATGTTTAAACAATATTCACTTATGCTCTTGCATTCTATTAAATGTATAATACAGGTGCAAAACTGCCATATATAATTAATTTATTTACTGTTATTGTTCCAATTAACATCTTTTAAATGTTTTTACACATACATCTGGATACCCAAAGAAATCTGTGTTGAGTTTTTAATTAGTTTTTACAACTTGAAAATTGTCTTTATCGACTGTGTGAAAATAATAGAAAAATAAATCATTTTCGCTAGATAATTCTAAAGTTAATTGTTATAAATCTTTTCCATTTCCCTATTTTGATAATTTAAAATTTTCATACTAAAATCATTATTCTGACTTTGATGTTTTCAACAATACTTTAATCTTCTTAGTCTGGAAATTTAATCATAAAAGGGATCTCTTGATTAAAAATTATTTTATATCCCCCTTATATGCAGGGATCTAAACTTTCTATTTATGAAAAGTCAATTTGAATTAAGTTTTCTTACATTATTTATAACAATTATTTTATTTATATTATAACAATAATTACAATATGAAATTCGTTTTAGTTGTTTATCTTTTTTGTGTTATTTTTGTGAACTGCTCAATTACTCAAAGTACATATATCTTATATTAAGTGTTGAGTCCAAAATCATCAAAAAGGTTATAGATGGTGAAGATAGATGGTTTGAAGGTATTTAAGAAATATCAAAAAATTAGAAATATCTTAAGAATATGAGGATTTCATTTATGAATATGATGCATATCCTGATGAGTTAAGTTTAGGCCATTAGATGGATTTAGGAAGAATGATTGATAATTATGATATCCCAGAAGACTGTTTTGAGGAAGTGATTAGTGTATATGAATATTATGATACTGATGAACCAGAATAGAATGTTGAAAAGAATAATCCAAACAACTTTTAAGTCCATGATTTGGGAGAGGAAGAATTTGTTAAATTAGAATAGGTAGCCGATGAAAACGGAGATGTGCAAAGTATCATAGTTAAACACTAGGAGAGGGAATCAAAATAAAACATTGAAATTAATGATAAAAAGAGTAAATAAAAAAAAAAATAGAGCCGTATGAATTTACGAAAGAAACAAAAGAAATGAACTTTAATAAATTTCAAAATTAGAATTAATATCAATTTACATAAAAATATTCAATAATCAATTATTCATTTATTGTAATAAACTCACCAGACTACTCAATCTAAATCTCATATTCTCACTAACAACAAAATGTACAACTTTATTGATATCTCTTTATAAAACCATTTATAATAATTATTCTCTATTATTTTAATTCATACATTTTAATCTTTCTCCAAAAAATATGACAATCACATCATGTATTAGCTTATTCAAATTTTAAATAGAAAAAAATTAACACATTCAACTCTACCTAATGAACATGATAATATATTAATTCTTCTTTTAATAAAATTTCTAATATCTCATTCAAACTTATAGCAAAATCCTTAAATGAATTCTAAGAAGACTTAACACTATATTCTCATTTAGAATTTTCAATTATTCAAAAATTGATCATCTTTATGAACTTTACAAAGACAAGTAACACTCTTTTGTTATATCAATTAATAGTTAAAGTTTATTCAAATATGTATAGGCTAATAAATTATTAAAAATGATAAGATGAGTTAGTACTCATTACTTCAAATCTCTAAATCATTTATAAATTAAATAATCCTCAGAATGATATATACCAACTCAAATTTAACATCAATAAATATATCAAAAAGAATTTGTTATTGATAATATTTAAAAAAAGCAAGTTAACATTCTTCTACTTCATCAAGAAAGTAAATCTTATAAGAAGCCCCTTTTGCTAAAGAAATGAGAAATAGGTAAATTTTAAACAATTTATATGTTAATATCTACTTTATTTTCTATTCTTATTTTAATGATAATTATATTTAACATTATATATAATTCATGCAAATATTGAACCATGTTCATTTCCTCTTAAAGCATGCTGGATTTTTGGTTAAACGCAAGCTTCAACACAAGTCACCAAGTCTCTATAAGGATACATCTTACTATAAATAAAAATAATACACAATTCTTTTCAGGATCAGCATTTTTCAGGGAAAGGAAGGCTTTTACACATCTGTCGTACTTATCATCATACCATTTGCATTATGGTCTACACATTTAAATAACCATGTCTTTTGGATCCTTACCATTTGCAATCATATTATGTATTTCTGTCTTATAATTTTCACTATTCATTAAATTTATTTTTAATATCTAAATATATGTACAACTCTTTAATTAATTTANCAATTTACATAAAAATATTCAATAATCAATTATTCATTTATTGTAATAAACTCACCAGACTACTCAATCTAAATCTCATATTCTCACTAACAACAAAATGTACAACTTTATTGATATCTCTTTATAAAACCATTTATAATAATTATTCTCTATTATTTTAATTCATACATTTTAATCTTTCTCCAAAAAATATGACAATCACATCATGTATTAGCTTATTCAAATTTTAAATAGAAAAAAATTAACACATTCAACTCTACCTAATGAACATGATAATATATTAATTCTTCTTTTAATAAAATTTCTAATATCTCATTCAAACTTATAGCAAAATCCTTAAATGAATTCTAAGAAGACTTAACACTATATTCTCATTTAGAATTTTCAATTATTCAAAAATTGATCATCTTTATGAACTTTACAAAGACAAGTAACACTCTTTTGTTATATCAATTAATAGTTAAAGTTTATTCAAATATGTATAGGCTAATAAATTATTAAAAATGATAAGATGAGTTAGTACTCATTACTTCAAATCTCTAAATCATTTATAAATTAAATAATCCTCAGAATGATATATACCAACTCAAATTTAACATCAATAAATATATCAAAAAGAATTTGTTATTGATAATATTTAAAAAAAGCAAGTTAACATTCTTCTACTTCATCAAGAAAGTAAATCTTATAAGAAGCCCCTTTTGCTAAAGAAATGAGAAATAGGTAAATTTTAAACAATTTATATGTTAATATCTACTTTATTTTCTATTCTTATTTTAATGATAATTATATTTAACATTATATATAATTCATGCAAATATTGAACCATGTTCATTTCCTCTTAAAGCATGCTGGATTTTTGGTTAAACGCAAGCTTCAACACAAGTCACCAAGTCTCTATAAGGATACATCTTACTATAAATAAAAATAATACACAATTCTTTTCAGGATCAGCATTTTTCAGGGAAAGGAAGGCTTTTACACATCTGTCGTACTTATCATCATACCATTTGCATTATGGTCTACACATTTAAATAACCATGTCTTTTGGATCCTTACCATTTGCAATCATATTATGTATTTCTGTCTTATAATTTTCACTATTCATTAAATTTATTTTTAATATCTAAATATATGTACAACTCTTTAATTAATTTATTATATAAACTCTCTTTAAAATATGCTATAATAATAACTCTTATTTGACATTAACTATCACTCTTTTTAATCCTTTTAAAACAGTATTTCATAGGATTTATTAAAAATAGGAATTTTAGTATTTATATTAACTGAGTCATCATATTGAATTATTACATCTAAATATATTTTTTTTCTATTTTGAGTTCCATAATTCTATTATAAACAATAGTATTATTAGCAAAAACTTATGATAATAAAATAACTTTTAAGATCTAAATTAAATTAAAATTAAGAATTTAATGCTTAATTTTAATCATTCTTGAAAATTATCAAAGTTTGGATAATAGAATATTTTATGAAAATAAATTATTATTCAATGAATTTAGTTTAAGATCTACTCTCTGCAAACTGGACATTCATTTTTTTTTTTAAGCCAATCTTTAATACAATCTGAGTGAAAATAATGTTAACATTTAAGTATTAATTTATTGTCGTTTATTTCATTCATGCATATACTGCAGTCTAGAACTCCTTCCAATTTTGAAAACTTATCCTCTATATACATTACACACTCTTCAAAGTGATCATTAATAAAGGCTCTAACTATATTATCACCACAATATGGACACTAAATTTCATCATAATTTGTTTCTCTATAAATACATTGTTCTTCATGAGCATTCAAAATTTTCTGATTCATTTTCTTCTTACAATACTAACAATTTTTGGCTTCGAAAAAATTATCAAGGATTTATTATAATTCTTCATCATGTTCCTATTCATTATCATTTAAATGTAACATTTATTGGAAATTATTTTGTTTATTTGATTTACTTTTCTTATTGAATTTTTATTGCTACTAATTTTTCAAAAATTGAAAATTTATAGTTTCTTCTACATCATCCTCTTATTGTTCGAATTATAGGAATCGATTTTATTTTTATTATTATTGATATTATAATTGTTATTATGGTTTTTGTTTGTTAATTTTAATATTATAATCCTCATTACAACCATGCATATTTTTTAAAATTTCGTATGAATCTTGTAATTTGTGATTTTAACTAAAAATAATAAATAAACTTACTTTTCTTAAAAGCTAAAATTTTCATAAACAAAAATTGAACTATTTTTTTCTGAAAGAGGAGAATTACTAGATTTACTAGATTTAAAAGAGTTGTGAAACTCATCTTTATTTTCTTCTATGGAACTCAAACTATTTAACATATAAAATTAAAAAGAATATAATTATTATTTTCTATAAATTCTTTATAAAAAAAGAATTATATTATATTATTCTATCATTTGATTGAATTTATTTATAATTTTTTAAAATATAGTAATAATTCAAGAATGAATAAATTCATCATTTAGTAACTCATCTATTGTAGCTCTCTCATCACACTTTTTTTTCAAACATTTTGATATAAAATTTTTAAGTTTATGATCAAAATGTCTAGGGTATTACACTTCCTCTGAAATTATTCGTCTCATTTATAGTTTTTAATCTCTGTCTTTAATTGGAGGTTCAAGATTACTTAATTCATATGCCAATATTCCAACAGACCATATATCTATCCGATTATCATAAACTATATTAAATAATATAATTTACAATTTTAATTAATGACTTCAGGTGCCATATAATCTAAGGTTCCACAAAAAGATTTACTTTGTTTTTTTATATACTAGGCAATTCCAAAATCTCCTAATTTTACATGATTATTATGTAAATAGATATTTTCTGGCTTAATATCTCTATGCATAATGCCTTGATTATGAAGATACTTTAAAGCGAGCAAAACTTCCTTAATAATTTATTTTATTTGCGTTTAATCAAATTTTTAATTAAAAAGTGAACCTTAATTGCAATATTCTAAAAGCAAGTAAACATTCTTCTCATCAGAAAAATCTTTAAATAATTTAACAATATTAGGATGATTAAGTTACTTCATTATTTGAATCTCTCTTTATAAATGCTATTAAGTTTAAGTCTTAATAGTGCAACTTTTATTTATTATCTTTAATGCAAATTTTTCTCCATTTAACCTATATATATTTTTAATTTATTACATTGCTAACATAACTTTGCTAAATTTCCCATAACCAATCTATTGAAGAATTTTCAGTTAATTGAAAGAATTTTCTTTACTTTTTTCAAATAATCTTTCAGAATGTGGATTATTGTATTCAGATTGTGTAGTTCTATATCTTGGAGTTACATAGAGTTAAGGTGGAGCTCTTTTTTAGGCTGAATTGAACATAATAATTATTAATAATATTAATGTTAGTTATTTTACTGTTATTTTATATTTATTTTTAGAATTTTATTTATCAGATGAGAATCACTTAAGTAATTAAAAAATGATAGTAATTTATATGAAATGAAATATTAAGTTTATAAGTAAATGAATAAAATCAGTATATAATAATTTATATTAATAAATGTTTAAGTTAATTTTTATATTATGCATTATTCTCAGCTTTTAGAAAAGAATATATTACAACAGATATGAAGAGGATCCTATAAATTCTTACGAAAAATGTTAACGAATGTTTTGCTAAGATTATGCTGACTCATGCTTTTCTGACCAGCTTTGTATGTATACTTAACATAATTGTTTCTCAAAATATTACTCAAAAGATTCCTAAAATTATAAAAATGATGTACTTAAATATAAATAATAAACTCATTTTAGTACTATGAATGCATAAAATCAAATATCAAAGCCAAAGTGTATATAAATTGCATGGAAATTTATTGCTAACAAGACCTTTTATTCATTTATTCTAGGATAAATAAGAAAAATTGAAATAAGATTTAATATTATAAGCTTAATTTCTAATTTTAATTATTTTTGATGCATTATTTGAAGAAATTCTCTAAACTGATTATCTTTTATATTTTTTCTATTGATAAAATATATCATTAAATATTCTGAAATGTATAATTTGAATTCTAAAATATTATATTTCATTTTTCGTCTCTAAATGTTTTACAATCTTAATAATTGATTGATTACTTATGCGATGAAAATAGAGCACTTATGTTGAAAGAAGAAATTTATCAAAATATATAATACAAAATCAATTCAATTAATTAAACTATTAGAACAGGATGTTATGTAAAGCTGACTATTTATAACAGTATATAAGTATAATTTATAAATTATATTTAAAATGAATAAAATTTTATTAATTGCTCTTCTTTTATTATGTATCTCTGGAAGGAGATTCCATAAACAAGATGAAGAAAATGTACTAGGATAAAATAGTGAAGAAGAATAATCATAGTCCTAAAATGGAGAAGATTAATAAAGTGAAGAAGAAAACAGTTAGCCAGCTGATGACTGGCCTACAGGTGAGGATGATGGTGAGCATTAATGGACAAGTGAGGAGGAGGAAAATGGTGGAGAAGGTGAAGACTAAGGAGAAGGTGAAGGTGAAGGTGAAGGTGAAGGTGAAGGTGAAGGTGAAGGTGAAGGTGAAGACTAAGGAGAAGGTGAAGACTAAGGAGAAGGTGAAGACTAAGGAGAAGGTGAAAGTGAAGGAGAAGGTGAAGGTGAAGGTGAAGGTGAAGATTAAGGAGAAGGTGAAGATTAAGGAGAAGGTGAAGACCAAGGAGAAGGAGAAGACCAAGGTGAAGATTAAGGTGAAGGAGATAATGGAGATAATAGTGAAAATGGAGACAATGGAGACAATGGTGACAATGGAAATGAAAATAGAAAGTAGAGAGGAGTCCATAAAAAATAATATTAAAACTTTAGAGGAAGACCTTGAATCAATAACATTTGATCATAAGATTTTCTAACAGTAAATGTTTAAAATCAAAATTTATTTTTTTAATTAAATTCTTATTCCTAAATATTGCAAATGATGATGAGATCCTATATTCTTTATAATTTGATCAACATACTAAACCCTTAATCTATTTATTTTTATTTAAAAGTCTATGATACAAAATTGTATGTTAACATTAGCAGAAATATGCATATTTTAATTTTTAGTGACAAAATACCTTTTAAAAATACGACATCTACACATTAATTAATAAATTTGATGTTTGNAATCTTAATAATTGATTGATTACTTATGCGATGAAAATAGAGCACTTATGTTGAAAGAAGAAATTTATCAAAATATATAATACAAAATCAATTCAATTAATTAAACTATTAGAACAGGATGTTATGTAAAGCTGACTATTTATAACAGTATATAAGTATAATTTATAAATTATATTTAAAATGAATAAAATTTTATTAATTGCTCTTCTTTTATTATGTATCTCTGGAAGGAGATTCCATAAACAAGATGAAGAAAATGTACTAGGATAAAATAGTGAAGAAGAATAATCATAGTCCTAAAATGGAGAAGATTAATAAAGTGAAGAAGAAAACAGTTAGCCAGCTGATGACTGGCCTACAGGTGAGGATGATGGTGAGCATTAATGGACAAGTGAGGAGGAGGAAAATGGTGGAGAAGGTGAAGACTAAGGAGAAGGTGAAGGTGAAGGTGAAGGTGAAGGTGAAGGTGAAGGTGAAGGTGAAGGTGAAGACTAAGGAGAAGGTGAAGACTAAGGAGAAGGTGAAGACTAAGGAGAAGGTGAAAGTGAAGGAGAAGGTGAAGGTGAAGGTGAAGGTGAAGATTAAGGAGAAGGTGAAGATTAAGGAGAAGGTGAAGACCAAGGAGAAGGAGAAGACCAAGGTGAAGATTAAGGTGAAGGAGATAATGGAGATAATAGTGAAAATGGAGACAATGGAGACAATGGTGACAATGGAAATGAAAATAGAAAGTAGAGAGGAGTCCATAAAAAATAATATTAAAACTTTAGAGGAAGACCTTGAATCAATAACATTTGATCATAAGATTTTCTAACAGTAAATGTTTAAAATCAAAATTTATTTTTTTAATTAAATTCTTATTCCTAAATATTGCAAATGATGATGAGATCCTATATTCTTTATAATTTGATCAACATACTAAACCCTTAATCTATTTATTTTTATTTAAAAGTCTATGATACAAAATTGTATGTTAACATTAGCAGAAATATGCATATTTTAATTTTTAGTGACAAAATACCTTTTAAAAATACGACATCTACACATTAATTAATAAATTTGATGTTTGATTTAAGGCATTTATTTATTTATTTATTATAAATTATAAGTTATTAATTTATTCATTAATTTAAATAATGGTATTAAAAAATAATTGATCATTTAAATTTTTTTTAAGTCAAGCAATAATTAAAATTGTTTTAAATTGATGAGGGAAATTTTGGTATTATAATTAGGTGGTTTTGGTAATAAAATGGGAGTGAAATTTTGGGAGGAGATGTTTAAAGATAGCAAATTTGAAATTGATAATAATTTACATGAATAAAGTAACATTCTTTAACTTAATACTTCTAATGTTGTTTATTATAATTTATAACAGAAGATACCACTTCCTAGAAGTATTTAGGTTGATTTAGGATAGGATTTACCATTTACAAATATAGAATTAAATCCATGTAATCAGTTCTCATTTAATTACTCTTCTGGCAATAATTTTGGATATGTTAAAAATAACTGCTGCAATGAAATTGTTGACATAATTATGGATAGTATTAGATAAGAAATCGAATAATGTGATTCATTTCAAGGATTCTAAATTTTTGCATCTATAATTGGTGGTACTGGATCTGGTTTATCAGCAGTTTTGTCTCAAACTTTAAAAGATGAATATTATGATACCATAATTTAGTGTAACTTATTAGTTCCTTCTATAAAATAAAATGATGTAATTGTAGTATCGCCTTATAATTCTGGCTTAGCCTTAAAACATTTGATGGATTCAGCTGAATAATTAATTTTTTTTGATAATGAAGGAATAAAATAAAATTTAAGTAGAATAGGAATATAATTTGATTATTAAGATGCAAATCTTCATATTGCTTAAACAATATGTTGTAATTCTTCACCATTTAGAAATCCTGGGGATATTAATTCATGTTTGAGAAAGCTTTCAACTAATTTGATTCCTTTTCCAGATTACAAATTGTTAACATGCAGTATGACAAATAATCAATAAAGCGATTACTATAATGAATATTAAAAAATGGATGAATACTAAATTTTTAAAGAATTAATGTCAACTGATCATAACTCAACTATTACTGATTATTTTTAAGGAAGATATTTGGCAGCTGCACTTAGTATAAGAGGAGAAATATCAAATAAAGAAATATATAAATATTGTTCGAATTTCAATTATTTTTTAGAAGATAAAGATTATAAAACTCGGGCTAGGAAAAGGTTCGAGGGAGTAAATATGTTTTTTACAAGTATATGTAAGAGAAAATTTTAAAATTATGAATTTTTTGGTAGTTCTATTATTCATTCAAATAGCATAAATTAATAATTGGATAATTTAAGTGAAAAGTTTAAGAAAATGTATTTAAAAAAATCTTATTTACATAAATATATTTAAGAGGGAATTGATGATCAAGAATTTGTTGAAGCTTAATCTAGGCTTGATGATATACGATATTAGTATCAAATTAATAAAGACAGAAATTAATGGGAGAATTAAGAGTATTGGGAATGAAGATTAATATTAGTGTTTGAATTTTATAGGAAAAAAAATTTAAGTATATTAACAATTTTTTATTAATATTCAATTCAAATAACAGGATCTAATTATCTAATAGATATTCTATCATCTTATTCTGATTATTATAATTTGAATAAACTTGGTAATTTCAATTATCTAAGTATGGTTTATCTTGAATCCCTACTAGAAAATTAAGGAATTCTTGAGGTAGGAGGAGGACCTGGTGAATAAAGTTATTAAAATTGTAATTATTACATTTTTACTCTTTTGCTAGGTTCAATTTATATTAATGGATTATTTAAATTTAATTTAACTTAATTATCTTTGTTAAATGCAGATACACATTCACAATAATTTAAAATTTTTGATGATTAATGTGATATATTACCTAATATATCTAATGATCTTTTAACAATTTTGCTTCTATTAGTTTTGCAAATAGGTTAATTTTCTGTTTTTAATCTCTATAAATAACTATCACTTTCAGCAAGATTTAAAGATAGAGATTGATTTGATTATTTTAATGCTTCTTAATATATGAAATTTGCTTTTTCAAATGTTTTTTCTATTTATTTAGTCATTTTTTCTAAGACTTTTAATGATTAACCTTAACAACAATATAATTTAAATCTCTTAAAATTAAATAATGATTACATCTTCATCTAAAAAGAGTATTTTGACTTTTTCAGCTAAACAAACTGCCTTTGTTTCTCTAAATTATTTATTTTATATAATTTCAAGAAATCCAAATATTTATCCTGCAGAATATCTATTTAATACTATCTATTGTTTATGAGTTAATTAATTTTATTTAATTTTTTGATTTGATTTACTTTTTTATTGTATTTCAACTACTCCTGAAATAATGAAATAGACACCTTTAATTTATTCTCCTTCTCTATAAATAACTGTATTCATAGAATATTCAATATTTTGTAGATGATATTATATTAATCCTACATCTGCATCTGACCAATCAGAAAAAATATTAATTGATTTAAGAAACATGAAATTTTTATTCTAAATTCTTGTATAATACTCAGCTATAACTGTATTTAAATAAATTACATAAAAATTTATTAAAAGCTTCCCTTGATAATTTAATAAATTAACTATTTTCTGCACAAACTATTGTAGCTTATCTAGGCACAGAATTAGTTAAAGCTATTTCTCCAAAACTTCCTCCTTACTCTATCTTACCTACTTTCATCATATTTGGATATTTAAATTCAAGCATTTTCTCATCCTCCAAATCTTAATATTGATCTTCATCCTATTTTATATATAAATTATACTGATTCTTCTCCTTCATCAAATTCTTTTCCTATTTCATGTTTCTTTTCTTACTTTCTATCATATTTTTTATCTGCTTTCTTTTCCTACTTTTCTAATCTCTCATCTCCTAGTCCACTTTTACCAACCAACACCTTAAAATAAATTTTAATTATTACCCATACACTGCCTCTCAAGATTATATAAAAGTTTTTACCAATATCACCACATCTAAAAAGTGTTCTACGGGCAGGTAAATTAATATATTGCAACTCTCTGTATAAATTTAGCATCTCATCAAAACTTGTTGTCTTCATCATTTCATGAAAGTATTTTATAGTTGAGAGTGCTGAAGCAAGCACATTTAAATCATTTTAATTCCTTGATTTTTCATCTTTAGATAATATAGCAATGATAATCTATTTTCATGCAGTATTACTTCAAAATGAAATGGGTTTTCCATATCAATCTCTCCCCTTTGCAACAGTTCTTTAACTTATTGGCTCAATTTCATTTATTATTTTAGCTTATCGATATTCGAAATTCGTCTAAACATATGTTTAGTTTATACTATATATTAAATATAAAATAATAAAGTCATCCCAAAAAAAGAGTACTAGATGTACTCTTAGTGTATTTTGAATTACATTCATAACTATATCCACTAAATAAATTTTAAACTGAATTCTTTTTTAGTAAAAGCTTATTTTCTTTTATTAATTCATCTTAACTATCATTATCTTCACTTATTTAATTTAGATATTCCACATTATCATCAATTTACTTCTTAATAATAAAATTATACCTTTGGAATATAAGGTGACTCAATTTCTTTGTTCAACAATTTTTACCATGGGAAATTACGAAGCCAAGGATGATTTTTAACTTCATCAGGTCCCTTAAATCCTAATCTATTTGCAGGCTTTCTCTATATTAATTTATTTATAAAATCTGCTGCCTCCACTGACCAATCATCAGGAATTTCAGATCTTTTAATTTATACTTATCTAGTTAGAATTTGATCACGAATTTCTTATCTTGATCTTCCATTATAAGGTCTTCTTCCTAACATAAATTCATATCCCATAATTCCTAATGCAAAGTAATCAACTGCTATTGTATGATTCTATCTACACATTACTTCAGGTGCTTATTAATTAATAATTAAATATTACCCATATATCCTGGTGTACCACTTGTATCTTAAGAATTTTCTGATTTCCATACTCTTGCTATTCCTAAATCAGTTAATCTTGCATATCCCTATTTATCTAAAACTATATTTTCTGGTTTTAAATCTCTATGAATAATATTATTATTATGTAAAAATTCTAATGAAAGAAATACACAAGCAATAAAAAATTTAGTTTAATGCTCTTTGAATCTTCTCATTTTTCCTATATGATACCTAAGATCTCCTCCAGTTAATAAATCCATTACAAGATATAAATTTTCTCTATCTTAAAAACAATAATTCATATTAATTAAAAATGGATGTTTGAATTAAGCTAAAAGATTACGTTCATTCATAACAGAATTAACACTTCTTTTAGCAATTATTTTAGCTTTTGACATCTCTTTCATTGCATAATATTATTTGCTTTTTTTCATTTCAACCTTCCATACTTTTCCAAATCCACCCTTTCCAATTACATAATGAAATTAAAAACTATACTTATTAATTTGTATATTGCAATCAACAATTAAAGTTTCCTCATCATCATCACTTGATTAATGTTTTTCTTGTTATCTTAAAATACTCTTTGAATTTTCATTTTTTGAAATATGAGATATATGTTAAATACTTAACATAGAATTAAATAAATTATCTAGTCCTTTATTTTATTTAAATTAATTTGGCACCTAGAATTCCTATTTTTTTATTTATATCTATGGAATTTCATGATTAATTAATTAATATGGTTTATCTGCTGGTTTATTCTCTTTCACCAAATTATTATTTTATTATTTTATTAAATTCTCTGGATATTTGATGTTATTTGAACTAGATTATTTAAGATTAATAAAAGGAGATATTTTTTAAATTGATGTATTTGGTGATTGAGAATTATTTCTTCCAGTATTTCTATTAATTATATCAAGATTATCATAAAATGCTGGTTTAATAGGTGATTAATCTTTAGATTTATTTTATAAGTCTAAATTAGATTATTATTATTATTATTATTGATGCATTTAGGAATTGATTAATAATTTTGATTATTTTAATTCTTATTTCAAGAATGATTGAATAGGACTGCGAGAACTTGTATTTTAAAATAAGTAATCTTGTTTATCTTTAAAAAATGAACTACTTCTACTACTATTAATATTAGATGCACTTTAATTTCTTTGATGTTTAGATTGAATTTAGATTTATGATTAATCTTATTTTTGTATATTTAATTGAACAATTTTTATTTTTTAAGGTGTTACACTTCTCTATTAAGATTATTTGTTTTTATTTTTTGATGATAATTGAGCTAATTAAAAAAAACTTGTAAATTAACTAAGACCTAAGGGTGATTTATGAGTTTATTTTGTTGTTTCACTTTGTTCCTAATAATATTAATATAATAAATTACAACTTTTGGTCTAATATAATTGAATTTTGAGGGAAATAAATCCTTCAAATTGCGGTGGTTAGACATTTTATATATATATATTTATAATTATAAATAATTTTTCATTTTATATAAGTCATTCAAATTAATTATGTGAAAATTTAACAAAAAATGATCACACTTTCAATTACTATATTTTTTGATATTTGATATACAAATAACAAATGTAAATAACTACAATATTTTTTTAATAAAACAATATAGATGTTTATTAAAATATCTAAAAATATATATAATAGGTTGATTTTATATAAATCTTTAGTAAAATCATCTATATTATAATAATCTATATGATTAGTAAAGTAAATTAATAATATTAGAATTTCAATTTTTCAATTATTTTTCATCATCATTTCCATCTAAATTGAATATTTAAATTTTTCGATATAAATACTATAATATCATTGAATAATTGCAAAAGAGATTTGAGATAGATTGATTTTATTTTAAAATATTATAAATAACTATTATTAACTTATAAAAATAAATCAAAAAACAAAACATTAATTACAAAAATATAAAGAATCAATCTTCATCTTCAATCCATCTAATACGTTTACCATCTTCCCACATTCCATGTTTTTCAATTTTATCAAATACTATTTTACCTTTTCCATGTTATTTACCCTTCTTCCAGTTTCCAGAATATCTACAAAATGAATTTTAATGTATACTTTTTACCATCTGGCCAAGTAAATGTTCCAAATCCATGTTTTTTATCAAAGTAATAATCTCCTTCATATTATTTCCCATCTGATGTTGTGTATTTACCATGACCATGCATATTATTATCCAACCATTCACCAATATAACATCTTCCATCTTTCCAATGACATACTCCATATCCTGTCATTTTATTTTACAACCATTAACCCTAATAAACCTTTCCATCTGGCCAATAATAGGTTCCAGTACCATCTTTCATTCCATACTTATAGGTTCCCTCGTATCTACTTCCATCTGTCCAAGTTTCAGTTCCATAACCATGTTATTTATCATCTTTCCAAAGTCCTTCATATTTGGAACCATCAGCATGAATATAAATACCAAAACCATTAGTTTTGTCATTTTCCCATTCTCCATCATCTAAATTATCAATAAAATCAATTACATATATCACCATCTGCATGTTTAAAGATACCTTTCCCTTGAGCTTTATCATCTTTCCATTATCCTTCATATGAGGCTCCATCTGGCCAAACTTGAGTACCAAAACCATCACGACATATACCAATCCAAAACAAAATATAAAATAATATATTACCATTCTCCAGTATATTTTGCACCATTTTCATAAGTAAATGTTCCTCTTTTATCTCTAGTTACTTCTGTTTCTCCAGTCATCGGAGCAATTATCTCAGAACTCTTAGGTCTTTTCGAATCACTAGGTAAAGCATGTAAAATCTTATCATCTTAAGGAGTTTAGCAACTTTTACAAGACCCCATAAAAATATAATCTTAATATAATTTATATAGATATAAAATTTATCAACCAGAAATCAGTTTTATTTATATAACTATTTAATCTACTACTATTTATAGATTGATCTTTTTATTTCTCTAAAATTGCTTAAAAGAAAGTAAGAGTAACTAATATAAATTAATTTAGAATGAAATGTTTTTTTTAAAATCTTATTTATTGTTAATATTATCTAAATAAAAGTATTTAATTTCTTCAGCTTATTGTATTTCTATTATAAACAAAAGGAAATCTTAAATTTTCTCTTTTTTTACTACTAAATAGTTCATAAATCCATCAAAATATTAATCTATTTATATATTGTTTATAAGATTAGCAATTCGACTATTAATAAGTTCTATTATTTGTAGTCAAAAAAAAGAGAACTTTTAAATTTAATTCTATTTTTTAATATAAAAGATACATATCTCTTAAAATTAATTATTATAATTTAAAAATAGGTTATAAATACAAGTTAATTCAAAGCTCAAACTCATCAGTTAATTCTCCTTCCTCCTCAAAATACTTATGATTTTTCATTTTTTATCTATATACATAGAAAAAGCTTAGTACACTTAGTATTACCAAAGCTAAAAGGATATATATCCAATAAGTTGGACCTTCTTTTTTATATCGGAAAATTAATTCAATAGTATCTGAACTAAAAGAATTGGATATCCTCAATGAATAATATTAATCACTATGAGCTACTTAAGAAGATTAGCAAGATAAATAGTTAGAAGTGCTAAAATTATATATATTTATTTGTCCATTTGTCAAATCCACTATTTAGCCTCCTAATTGATTAGATATTATAGAGATTGCAACTCCATTAGGATTAGGTAGTGATTAATTTAATCCTCCTATCATCATTAAAGGTTATCTAATATTGCTTTAAATCATAGTATAATTATAGACAGCAAAAACACGTTCATTTTCAGAAGCAAATAGTAACAATAATATACCTTTAGTTGCTAAACCAAAGTATTATTAAGTATAATTTCCATATGGAGGAATAGTTTAGACAATAGTTTATATTTGTAATTAATTTTTTACATATAACTCTTTGCTGAAAGTCATTGTGAAAATAAAAGTTGTAGCATTTGTTGTTGTGAGAGCTAGTAAGATTTCATTATATTTTACAGCTAAGGGAATTATTTGTAGCATAGCTGTTTATTGTAATAATAATAGTTTCTTATCTTTGAATATTACATTCTAATAATCTCTATCCAAATTAAGTGTATAATCAATCTAATTTAAATATCCAAGCTTATAATATAATTAATTATCACAAATGAAAAATATAGCAATAATTTATGAACTTTGAGTAGAGTTATAAAGATATTGAATGGAAAAATCCTCAATACCTTTTTTACAAGATATATTCTAGAATGTAATATTGTTTAAATCTTAGAGATTGTATATGTAAATATACTCATATTCACTAGAAATTATATTCTAACCAAGTACAAAAGTAAAATTTTAATATTAAATCATTTTCCTTATTATTTGGCAAGATAATGGTAATGCATTATATCCAATAAGTTATGTAATATTATTTCCTTAAATCTCAAATTTAATTAAGAATGTAATTTATGAACTAAGACAAAGAGTATATATAAAATTTTTATAAGATGCAGATGCTAAACATTTTTCGAATTAATAAAGATATTATACTTCTATTCTTGATGATAATTCTATAATTGAGATATTATTTTATATATAGAATTCATTATTAGCACTTAATATTATTGTATAATTTGGAAAACTATAATTCTATTATCCTTAAAAATATTAGTTTAATTAACATATCATACTTGATTTTTTTTAGTCTTCCGCATTTATTGACAATTAATATGAAAGAATTTAAAAATTAAATAATTAATCTAAATCAATTCTAAAATGTTATGCCTTTTGAAATTGATATGTTAAATTCTTATAATCAACTTGAATATCAATAAGAGGATTAATAATGTAAATTGTATCCTCAAATAAATATTATTATTAATAATTTAATGCAGATGTTACAGCAAATATCTAATTTAATTCAGAAATGTAAGTCGCATTTATAACATTGTTGCTAATAAATTATTCAGTGATTACAACATGCAATAAATAGTATTAATTAGAAAATGTAACAAATGAAGTATAATTTAAATCAACGCAACTAAAATAATTTCCAGAAAATTTGAATTTATAATATAAAGAATTGTGGTAAGGTAGAGCAGGACTATAAACTACCATATAATTATCTTTAGAGAGAACATATAGATGAGCATCATCAGAATAAATTCGAGTACCTTTTTTAATTTATAAATATGGCAACTATTTCTAAAATTCAGGTTTGTATATGTTGTAAATTTTATATACTTCAAATTCAAGTATATCATCATCGACCAAATTTGAAATCACTATTTATTCATTTACAATATTTAATGAATAAATTTCATAATCAACAAATGTAATACTTATAGGAATAATACTATTATTATATGAAATATCTATTGTTAGAAAACAATCTCTATTATTAATAAAAATAGTAGATGCTTAGTTTTATTAATTTGAAGTAATTGATTTTGGATGAAAATCTAATCGTTTTTCAATTAGATCAAAGAAAAGTTGGTTCACTATTTCTTCATCTAAATTAAATATAAAATCTTAATTAAATGATGATATTATTATTCTCTTATCTGGAGTCAAAAGTACTAAATTTTTATAAGTTAATAAAAATTATTCATATGGCTAACAACAAACTATTGATTCTGAATAAACAATATTTTATTAAAATAACTATTGATTGTAATTAGCTTAAATTATTATTATTTAAAAACTTCCTTAATCAATAGCTACAGTAAAATTTGATAGATAATAAAAGGAAATTTCTATATGATGAATCTTTTCATTAAAGGTATTATTATAGATTTACATGCAAGTATAATTACTTTAACAAACATAAATATATAAAGTCAACTCTTATACTCCTATTAAAAGCAATCCATCTAGAGAAAGCTAACTTATATAATATAATTTGACCAAGTCAAATTCTTTATCAATTTTTATATTTAATAATTCAAAGGTTTAGTCTGTAAATTCTCCTAATTTAGGATCAGATATATTTGCATTAATTTTTTATAGAGGTCCTGAAAAACTGTCAAGTGAATATTATACGATAGAATTTTACATTATTACTTTAGGTAGTTTTTCATTATACACCATATAAATATTTGTATCATTCTTTGGCAAAATATTGTATGTAATTTGAGATTTGCAAAATCGATTTATAAATGGTAATTATATTTCAAATGCTGATATTGAAAATGTACCATTTAAAATATTAGGATCAAATATTCCTCTTAATTATGGATTTTGAAGTGTTGAAATTGTTAATTTATTACTAAATTCATAAAAACGGTTTGTTTTTGGATCTAAATATGAATAAATTTATGAAATATTATTTTTATGTCTTGAAAATTTAAGCATTGAATTACTATCTGATGATTAATATATGATTTCAGCTGAATTCACAGTAAAATAGTTATCTTATTAAATAATTAAAAAATATTAACTAATTTAAACTTGTAAAAGTGAGGTTAGATTAAAGTCAAAATATGTTAAAATAAAATCTCCAAAAAAATTAATAGAATTTTCCCATGCTACAAATTTTTAAACAGAAGAATAATAAGCATTATTTGTAATTATTAATGTATCCCATTATGAATTCAAACTAACACTAGTTCCAATTGCTATTGTGAGTAAGTTCTAAACTGAATAATGTATTGCTAATATATCAAATTTAAATTCCACATCTATTACAACTTGATAAATTCCCATATTAGGTACTAATATATAGATAAATCCTTTATCTGATATTTCAAAATCTACTAATTGATGCTACCATTTACTAGTATTTTTATATTGATCATTATCCCATATAAATAGAGTTAGAGTTGTATACTATGTATAGAATTATGCATACAATAATGCCTCTTTCTATTAAGTAACAAAAGATCTCATTTTGGTTTTAGTAGGAATAGATGATGTCAACTTCTATATAAAAATTAACTAATTTTATTTTTAAAAAAGAAATTATAATACATTCTGATCATAGCTATCAAGCAAAATTTTATTATTGATTGTAAATATTGCATTGAAATATGTCCAATCTTCAACTAATTTCAATTTTGATACCAAATCTAGATCATAATTATACATATTTAAAGTTTATTCTTTAGTTAAAACAGCAAAATGTGTTTTATTTGATGAGATTGACTTAGATGTGAAGCCTTCATTAAATTTCTATAGATACCATAATTGTCTTTAGAAACAATAGTTTCGAAAGTATTATAGACTATGAGATTGTTAGGACAGTTCTAGCAAAAATAGGACAAGTTCTTTCCACTAAATATAGTATCCATAGGAAGTATGTAATTCTCTCCTTAAGTTGGATAGATGTTTAATTCATTGATTCTAACATCACAAGCCTCTAAAATCATGATCAAAAAGTTGAGCCACATATAGATAAAATCTGATATAAATATAATAATTTTAAAAATCAAAGCTTGTAAATTAAACTCCTATTATAGTTCCAAATATATTTTCAAAGAAGTGATAGAAATTAATGTATATATTTAAAATTATTAATGACTCTAAGAAGTGTTATGAAAATTTTAAAATAAAAAAACAATAGGTTAATATAGTGAAATTAAAATTTTTCATTTACAAAATTTATTTATTTTTTTTAAGAAGAACAGAAATTAAATAAAAGTAAAAATAGATTCTTTAATTATATTTATATAAAGCAGCAGTTAAATTTATATAGTTATGATTATATGTGCTGAATTAGATAGTAAAATTATAAGTTATGAAATCTTTCATTTTTCTAATCCAAAATTGAGTAAATTGATTCCTCTATGTAATCCCAATTTTCTTGGAGCTAAATATTTATTTACTAAATATTATTGTTGTTGAAACTACTCATAACGAACAGTTTTAGTATTATTATCATATTCAATTGGTGATTGATTATTAGTTCTCATTATTATAGTAAATGGAGATGTGGGAGTAGATTTAACTTAAGATGCCATTCTAGTATGACATTACTTCTTATTTTATTTAGGTCTTTCTGTTTAAACTTCAGGTTTTTAAGTTCTAGTTTTAATGGATGGCAATTTTGTTTATAACCATTCTATTTTTTAAGATGGCATTTTTATTAGTGGACAAATAGGTTAGGATTCTTCAAAATTAAAAGTGATTTAAATGGGATCAGAATTTGAATGAAGTGATAGACAGTATTAATGTTTATAAAGTCCCTTATTTAGAAGCATTGATTTTTTTAATAAAATAAACATCACATCAAGAATCTCTACTTAAAGAATTTCTTGAGACTCCAAATCTAATAAACCCCAGATGCTAGAAGAACAACAATTTATAAAATGGTAGTCTAAGTGACTCTTCTGCTGATGTCGATGGATTGAGTTGTTAATTTATCTTCTTATTCTCTGTTCAATTATTAAAGAGAAATGAAATCATCAGTTCTGTTTTTTAAGGCTGAGATTCTATCTATATAATTAATTTTAAAAGATGTGTGATACCTTTGATTGATTCAACATGAGTTTTGTTAGCTGCATCTTGGAGATTGTGATCAACTCCTTGTTATATTTTAATAGAGTATTTATACTCATTGACACTCCAAAATTACTTGGATTTTATTACACAGAACTTATATCTGCCCACTAAAAGTAATACTTACATAATTACTTGTTTTGGCTGTGAATGACAATTTGTTCTTTCCTTCTGCAGTTTTAGCAGTTTTCACTATATTGCCATCAGGGCCATAGACATTAAGAGTGATTCCATCTTTAATCATTTTTGGAATGTCTATGTGTTAAATGAATTAATACCTCTTTTTTCATTTTTGGCCACACCTTCTGACATCAATTCATGATATATCACTACTATCTAAAAATGAATAATCTAGATTTACAGTTTGACTAGGTACTTCATCTGAGAAGCACTTTTCAACTCCTTCTTTGGCATAGAAGCTTATACAATGATTCAAATTGAATAACAGAGCAAGCAAAATAATGTATTTCATATTAAATGTATTTAATTATAACTCTGTTGTATTGTATACATGCCTAGTTTGTTATCTAATCACTAATACAAACTGATAGAATATCTACTTACAATCCACCTTGGATGCAAAGGTTTATGGATTCACAAACAGCAGATAATGATTTATTAGCAGCAGCTAAAACGGCAAGCTCATTCAATGATAAACTAGAGCATGAAGTCAGAGTGGCTGCTGATTTAGAACCTATTCCACATTTAGGTGAGTATCCAACTAAATTAAAAATGGATCCTAGTAGAGATCCACCATCATCTAATCCTGCATCAAAATTAGAAGAAAAAATATAACAAATGAAATAAGCAGTTGCTGAAGAATCAATATTTAAAGTTGGTTGGTAGGATGATGATAATTTGTACAATAAAATTATTGAGCATCTTATTGAATTGGATCCTGAGGAATAATCAGACTTTCTATTACAAATCTTAAAAAACGAAATGCGTTCTAACAGAACTCGAATAGTCTAAAGATTGAAGGATATATTAGCTATGATCATGGATGAAACCATTCTTATTCCACTTGAAAAACTCTATGAAGTTTGCATTCGAGCAAATATGGAGATGGAAGTTGAAGAAGTGTTTTTAGAAGAACTTAATATTTCACTTGATCCTATAAGAAATGGAGAAATTGGGGAAGCTGAGTAATTAGTTGAAGAATTATAAGAACTTGAATCATTAGAGGATGAACATATTCAACATCAAGAATAAATATCTGTACCAATTGAGTATCAAATTGTTTTGAGAAAAGAACCTAAATTTAAGAATGAGAATAAATTAAATCCAATAGATACTATATCAGTTAATAAAGTACATATCCTTAATGATTAAGATGTTGAAGATCATAATAAACAAAAAATTAAATAGTATACAATGAGATTAGATGATTTTTTCATTTCTAATCAAGGTGAAGAAAATATAGAATAACCAGAAGAATAATAATAAGAATAATTAGAAGATAATTAAGAATAATAAGAGGATAATTAAGAATAATAAGAGGATAATTAAGAATAATTAGAAGATAATTAAGAATAATTAGAAGATAATTAAGAATAATTAGAAGATAATTAAGAATAATAAGGAGATAATTAAGAATAATTAGAAGTTAATTAACAGAACGATGAGCAGATGGGTACAGAATAAGAAATTTAATTTGAACCAGGACCTAGAGAATTATTTAGAAATCCATAGATCCCTTTTGATCCAATTGAGGAAATCATTCAAAATGGTGGATTTATCCCACATGAATTTTTAAATCCTCAACACAGAGATGATATTTATGTAAACGATCATTAATTTATTCCTCTCACTCCAGAAGAAATGGCTTATTAAAGTAAACCTATCATTCCACACGAAATGTTTAATCCAATCAATGAAGATGATAAGTATAATACTTTTGGCAATAAAAAAATATAAAAAGAACCATATTTTCATTATAACTAAGGAACCCAATAGAATTCAACTGAAAGAAAACCTGATGTAGCATAATCAATAAATATTGTGTAAGGAGATGCTGAAATGTAATCCATTAATATTATTCTTGATCCAGTATAAATGTAATCAATAAATATTAATTTCGATGAAACATAGGCTGAATAATACAAATAATAATAACTCTATCATAAATATAGAAACTAAAAACACTTCATCAATCGTGATAGTTTTCATTACCCTAATGATCCTCTGTATCCAAATATTCATACTGTTCAAGATCATACAAGATCTCCATATTATTATCAAGGCTATTACACAGGGGAAGTACCATAGCATCCATATTAAGTTTATGAGCCTCCTTTAGAAGAACCAATCCAAGAAGTTATGTATGAAGAAATCATTTAAGAAATACTCAATGAAGAAATAGTGCCTCCTGAAGAAGCAAATCTAGAAAGTCCTCCAGAAGAAGGAGCTGTAGAAATACCACCTGAGGAAGGTGCTGTAGATGCACCACCAGAAGAAGGAGCAGGAGGCGAAGCTGTTCCAGAAGAAGTTGTTGGAGAAGCTATACCAGAAGAGCCAATTGGTGAAGCAAAGGCTGAAGAAAATGTTGAAGTTAAGGGAGAGGATGGTACAAATCCTGAAGAAGGAAATATTGAAGATACTTAAGTTCAATAAGAGGAAACTACATAGTAAGAGACCATTCCAGAAGATGCTCCTTAAGAAGGAGGTGGAGAAGAAATAAAAGAAGTTGAACCTATAGAAGATTAATAATAGGAATAAGAGTAGGTTGGAGATGAAATTTAAATAGATAATGCTGAAATAATTGATTAGGTAATTTAGGAAGATCAATTGCAATAAGAAATAGAACCTTGGATTAATTGGGAAGAAGTACCTGATGAAGAAATTGAATATTTAATTAGCAGATTGATTGATCCTCGATTTTATGATCCTCATCATCCAGATTATAACCCATAAGATCCCAGGAATATTATTTTTACTTCAACTCATTTTTAAAGATCGTAGGTATATTTATAAATTAAAAACCCCTTATTTTATTTACCAGGTTAGGGTCCATATGCTAAATTAAAGTCTTGTAATACACCAGAAGACTTGTTAGATCAAATTACTCCTGATGATCTTCATTCATTGGTTAATGAATGGAAAAAGAGAACTTAACGTTATAATATTCCAGATGCTGATTATTAATCAAAATAATCAAGAAATCAATAATCATAATAATCTTCCATATATCGTCCTTTTTAAGAGTCCTCAACTTTAGATTAAGCTCCAGTTGATCAACAAGAATTTAAACCAGGAGAAGTACCTCAATAAAGGAAAAGTTCTGATGCTTAGCCTTTCGAGTTTGCTGATGAGGATTTTATTACACCTAGAGATATAGGTAAATTTGGTAGGAAAAAACCATTTCAAATGTAAGGATTAGATCCCAATGATCCAAGATCAATACCTAACTTTAATCCAGATAAATCAAATTATTTTGGCAACAATGAACATGTTGAAGAGAATCCTATTCTTAAAGTAATTTAGGGAAACAAAATGTAATAGGAGGAAAGAGGAGACTATTAATAGATGAACCCAGATGAGTTTCATCGTCCTCCAGATTTTAATGATGATAGATCATATAGAACTGGTAGAGATGGAAAACCAATTCAGCGTCATCCAAGAGGAGATTGGCATGATGAAGATTATTACTATGATGAATATGATGAGTATGATGATTATTACGAAGATAGAGATGGTGATGGAATCCCAGATGTCTATCAAGAAGAAAATTATTATCCTCCTTATTATTAAAGAAGATAACCATACGCTGATGAATATGATAAGAGAAGATAAAGTCATTATGACAGAAGAAGGTATGGAGATCGCGATGGTAGGGGATATAATGATTTTGATGAATATGAAGATTTCAGAGGTGATGATCCTTACGATAGAAGAAGAAGATATCAACATCGAAGAAGATCAGATGATGAATATGATTCAAGACATCCTAGAAATCCCTATAATAGAAGGTATGAATTGGGAGATAAGGAAGATTTAGTAGAAGACAAAATTGGAAGAGAATTAAACAGATCAAAAAGGGATATAGGTAGAAAAGGAAGGTACTAAAAAAAAGGTGATGATTCATAACCTAGAATTGAAGAATTTCATATTTATCATGATCTGGATTAATATTCTTAAACGAGAAATATAAATGATAAACGAAATAGAGAAGAAAAAGCTATGCAAGATCCAAAATATAAACCAGGAAATATTAATGGGGTACCATAGATTAGAGATACAACAAGAGATATTGATGATTATCCTAGAAGAAGCACACCAGATGATAAAGATTAAATGGACAGTTCTGGTATTGCATTTGCTAAATCCTTAAAAGAATAAGGAAGACAGAAGAGAAATAAAAAAATACAAGATGAAAAATTAAAATAAATGGGATTAAAGAATTCTAAGAAATAAAAGAAAAATAAGAATTAAAAAAAGAAAAAATAAAATGAAGAAAAGGATGATTAATCAAAAAAATCAAATTAACAACAAAATGATGAATAATAATAATAATAATAATAATAATAATAATAACAATAATAAGAATAATAGTAGAATAAATAATCTTAATATAAAGTATAAGCATTAGCTGCAAATAAATAAAATAATGTAAATAATAGTGATTCACTTATCAAACCTTAAAATAAAAGTACTACTTAAAAGGAAATGTCAAAAGCTAATGAAATTGATGAACCTGATCTTAAGCATTAAGCAAGAAATAATGCAGAAAAAAGTGATGAAAATAAAGCTCTTGGCAAAAATGAGGAACCTCTGTTAAATAAAAATAAAAAAGCTAAAACCTTATTATAAATATCTGATGAAGATTGTTCTCATTTAGACAGCAGATCTAAGACTTATACCTGTATTTAATGTAATGTAATTATTGAGTATATTTTAGACTCAAAAATCTTATCATTTAAACGATGACACTTGGTATTTAATTGGCTTAGCATAAGGGTACAAAAAAGAATTTCACACAGTATTTAAATTGATTAAAGAATTAATTAATCCCCAACAACTCTATACTAGTTTTGGAACTAATAATAAAATTTGTTTTAGCAGTTAAGAGAAGTAAATCATTAATTTAGATAAAATAATAACAATCTTTTAAGGGAAAAAAGTGACAAATACTTTAATTTAGCTGCCTGAAAAACTATAAATGTCATATTTCTAATTATCATACAGCAACCAAGAATTTTCTGACTTTGAATTAGAAATAGATGATAATAGTATTCAGATTGATAAAGCTGGTGTTAAAGTTTCAAAAATAAACATTATTTGGCAATCACTTCAAGTCTAATTAGGATATTAAGGTATAATTAACTTTAACAAAACATAAAGAAAATTTGATTACAGGTAAATAATTAGTGAAGATTGCATGAATGAGAATCTTAGGATCTATCTACACTTTCCTCACGATTACTAATATTCAATTTAAATGATTAAGCAAATATTTAATCAATAATATATAGAACTTTATGAATAATACTTATTGTAATAGATAGATTAAAAAGACAGATGGGTTGTAGTATAATTCAAATCGAGATTATGTGAAGAATCAAGTGAGTATGGTATATCACTTTAATAATGAATATATATATATTAAATTTCTTAATTAAAAATATGAAATATATTCTTAAAGAATAGAGAGTATGAATTCCTGATAATATCAAAATAAGAGTTCTTGAAAATATATATATAACATAAATCATTGGAGATTTAAATTTAAAGAAATTGAATATGATCATTAGAAATGAAGCTAAAGCAAAAAATAACATAAATAATATTAGATGTCTTAACCTTAAGTGTGAATGATCTAAAGTTTTAATGATTTCTTATTGTTTATCAATTATTGGAATCAATATTCATATTTACATTTTCAATTTAAAAATCATCTTTATTAATTAAATATAGAAATTATAATTATTATAAAATTTCATTGTTTTATTAATTAAAATTAAGATATTATATAAATTTGTAAACCTTATTAAAATTCTTAAGAATTCTGAATCAAATCAAAAGTTAATGATAGATTGTTGAGATAAAAGAATGGGATATTATATTTAAATTAATGTATAAGATAATTCTTAGATGGAATATTTAGAAAAACGTTTGGATGTTTGACAGTGAATATTATTAATTATATTCTGACATATATTTATATTTTATTGTGGCCTATAAAATACTTATATCATATTTCTTCCACTTTGTAATCATGATTTTCAAAAAAATTGATTTCTTTCTTTTTTCTTGAATTGTATTTTTCTAAAAATCTTAATCTATTGCTAACAATTCTTTCAATAAGCTAATCTGCAGTCTGTTTGTTTACAGCTTTGATTTATTAATAGATTCCTAATTTAATAGGTAATTCATAAGGATCTTCGCTAGTTTTTTAAGAGCAACTGCCTTCAACGACTAAATCAATTTTGAAATTTTTGATTAATTATTCATTCACTTTATAAGGAACTCCCATGATAACTTCATCAACATATTTAATTGCCAACAAATTTAAGACTCTTTCTTACAAATTTAAAATTGGATAATTTTTTCCTTTAATTTTATTTATAGTCTAGGAATTTAGGAATTTTTATAATTACTTCATTATCATAAACTCCAACATACAAAAAATCTCCCATTTCCTTTGCTTTTCTTAAAACATCTACATGACCTTGATGTAATATGTCAAATGATCCATCAATATAGACAATTTTGTCACCAGATTTAGGTTTCTTATTGTTACTAAATTGCATTATTCTTCTTGTTGTATTCAAAATCTTGTTATTTAAAGTTTATTCAATGGATGCTTAATCTATATCTAACTAATTTATATTGGATGCTTCAACTATGGTTTACTTTTAAAATACTTTCTAATAATATTATAAATAAACAATTACCTTTTCTTCCCACATCACTTCTTTAGTCATCAATAACATTCTTCCCACTATATCTGTTGTACTAATTCCTTCTGTTCTTTTAAATATTCTAAAAAAATATGGAATGAACAAAAATTACTTCATTCTTTTTGCATCTTTAAATGGTTAATAAGCATCCTTTCCATCAGCAGTTTAGACTAAATCATCTCCATGAGCAACATGGGAACATGAATGTCTATCTATCTATTCTATTGTTGGATCATAAGTTTCTTAGACAACTACTTCATCAACCCATTTGCAAGCACTAGCTAAGGCCAATCTTTCTTCATCAGTCATAATTGGAGGTCCTTTTGCTTTGGCTATTGCATCAGATTTTATCACTCCAACAACCAAAGTTTCACATAACTCTTTGGCTTAACGAAGTGCATTAAAGTGTCCAGAATGCATTAAATCAAAACAACCATCAAAATATAACCTCTTTACTTTCTCTTCCCCATAACTTGAAATTGGAAGTTATGATAAAAATAGGTCAGCCTGTTCTTTAGCCATATCCCTAATGTGAGCATTTTCTGCACTGTATTCATTGGCAAGCTGTTGTATCTTTTGTGCTTGCTCGTTTTTAAGAATATGATCAATAAAAAACAATGTATGGAGGTTATTTTAATCCATTTAATTTAATTCATATATAAATTCTTTGAATGGCATTATAACATAGATGTCTTGATTAATGAATAAATAATTAAAATAATCAACAAAACTAATATGTCTACAATCGAAAAAGCTATTTAGAAATAAAGAAAATTAAGCCACGAATTCGAGTTCACACACAATTCAACCGAAATTGATTCAAATGCATCATTCTTTGAAGAAGAGAGAAGTTAAGATTTTGAATATAGTGACTTATCTTAAAAAGAAGACATATCAGAGAGTTGGGAAATGTCCTCTATTTGTACAGAAAATGTATACACATGCTATTTAAAAAATTAGTCCATTTTACCACCTTAAAGCTTAGAAAATATAACTAATTTCAATAGTAGTTGGCCCCAATATTCTTAAGTAGCACCTGTTAGAGAAGAATTTGCCTAAAAAAGATTTGAAGATACCTGTAAAGGTATAAAGAATAATAATTTTTAAACTGGCAAGGGCATTGCCATTCACGTGCTTGGACAAGGATCCATAGGTAAATCAAATAAGAAAGGAAAAAAATAAGCAAAAAGCAATAAAAAACAAATTCAGAATCTTAATAATCAAATAAATATAAATAATTATAATATTTCATAAGATTAACAATCATAACAATCGTAGTCCTCAAATTTTAATTCCAATTCATAATTAGTTTCTTAATAGAATAAATAAATTTGTTAGAATTAAAAAGTTATATTAGCATATCTAATGGTTGAAAGTGATGTATTAAAACAAGCCTAACAAAGAGCTTAAAACTTTATTTAAAAATATATGCCAAATAATAATAATAAAGAGCTTTAAATTAATATTTAGGAGGCCTATAAAATTATGTTACTTCCAGATTAGATCATTGGGTAGCTTGTGTAAGTTCTAAGTTAAGAAGAACTTCAGATGTAGCGAAATTTGGCTCTGAATCGACTGAATTTACAACGTAATAATCATCCATTAGCTGCCAAGGCGGCAGATAAGATAAGGATGCATTTTAAAAATAGTAATTGAGAATGAATTCAAAAGAAAGGTAAGAATAATGAGGGCTTAAATATTTATGTAGCTCTCATGAGCAAAACATAATATTATTTTAATATTATTAACTAAATTATTCTCTTTGCTTTAATTATAATATCATGCATTAATAATTCATAAAAGCATAAAAATAATTATTTTTTTTTATATCTTTATATTTTATCACAAAATTCAAAATTTTATGATTTCAAATTATTTTAAAGAAATAATCAATCATATATGATTAAGCATCTATGTTTATAATTAAATTTTTACATTATTTTAATGATTTTAGAAGCTAGATTTAATTTTAAATGGATACTATTTAAAATAGATTTTTTTTGTTTTTATTTAAAACTACTCCAAGTCTTTGATTAGTAATTTCATTAATATTATAAATATAATGTATTAAAACTATTATAAATATAATGCAATTAAATTGGAGATTAATTTAGTTCTATTCAAAAAATATATTGAATGTTACTATTGGACTGCTTTTATATTTATATGATGTTAGTTTAATACCCTCTCTTGTACTATTTATTGTGAATGGAATGATTTTGATAATCAGTTTAATGATCATTCAAAAAAGAAAATTAATTCCTAAAATATATTTTGAATGGTTTATGAATATTACACTAAGTGCCCATATATCATATTGTTGTTTTTTAGATAAGGATTTAACTAGAACTGCTTATATTTTATTAAAAGCTTAAGAAATTTAGATGGTTAAAAAATAATCAGCAACAAAATCCTTGTTGTTGCATTTAGTTTACAACATTTTATTTTTTATCTTATTTATAATTCATAAAGAAAATACAATCCTCTATATTGTCACTATGTATTGCACTATTTCACTATATAAGTTAAAAAAGTCTGGAATTATGTAATAAAATTAAGAATTCGAATTGCCAGCATAGATGACAAAACCCACACAGCGAAATTCTGAAATAATCAATTTAATATAAGACTCTATAAGTAATTCATGGTTGATTAGATTATAAAACATACCAGTAGGAATCATGATTGTAAAAAAGGATAATCTATAAATTATGTTTTAGAATTAATCTCTACTCCAAATGTTTGATGGTATAAAAGACATAACCAAATTTCTAATGAATGAATTACAATTCAAGCTATAAATTAAAAGAAAAAGGAAATAGGTTAAAGAGACAAGTATTAAATTACCAAAATAATCCCCTAAATAACATAATAGTGTTCCATAATTTTTTAGTTGTAATAAAATGCCTAGTATATAAAAGTTACCAAATACTTTAAATGAAATATTGTTAGAATTATAAAATGGGAATCTAGATTAATTTTATTCAAAAGAAAACAATTTAGAACTTTTAGCTTAATTATCAAAATCTAAATAGCCTGCATTTCATGAAGAAGATTATACTAGAAGTATTTAATGTAAAATATTTTGTGGTTAAAATGATCATGAATATTTGATTATAATGGATGATATTTCATTACAAAGTTATTTATAAAAATTAGAGACAAGAGAAAAATTTTAAGTTAGAATTATTGATTCTTTTTCTCATGAATTAAGAACTCCTTTAAATAGTGCAAAATTATTTCTTGATGGTCTTATTAATGATCCTAGTATCAATGATCATCATAAATATAATTTTATTTATCCTGCTTCGAATGCTTTGAAATTATAAGCATATTTAATTAGGGATATTATAGATTTTACTTAATTTCATTCACAAATCATTAAGTATAAATTTGAAGAATTCAATTTTGAAGATATTGTCTAAGAAGTAAATGATATTTTTAGACCTATACTTTAAATGAAAAGTCTTGGATTACATATTAATGTAAAGAATTCAGTCCCTCCATTAATATATTCAGATTTTGATAGAATTATGTAAATTTTAGTAAATTTAATCTCGAATTCAATTAAATTTTCAGAGAGAGGTTTAATTATCTTAGAAATCTCTTGTCATGAAACTACTCTAACTTTTTGTGTTAAAGATTAAGGAGTAGGGATAGAAAATGATCAATTATAGAAAATTTAAGAATTCTTAAAATCCTTTAATTTAAACAGAGACTTTTCATGTCATGATGAATGGTAAGGATTAGGATTACTTGTTAGTTAAATGAATTTATTTAAATTAGCCCCATTAAGCAAAACTTAATTGAGAATAAATTCGAATGGATTAGGTGAAGGAACATAAATTACATTTAAAATAAGAACAACTTAATCTTCAAATACTCAAATCTTAGGTGGTACAATTATTAAAAGGTAAAGCTTAAGAACTGCATATACAGTACCTGATCTATGTATGGGAATTTAGGGGATATTAATTATTAATAATCCAAAATGTGATGATTTAATGTTTGATAAACAACTTTAATAAATTCCAATTAGACATCATTCATCAATAGCAAATTATTTTCGACCCTAATAATCAACTGGATTATTAAATTAATATGTATAATAAGAAACAGATATTATGCAAGAGGAGGATACATAAAGAGGAAATCTTTAAGACAATTTACTTAAATTGAATAAAACATCCAAATCATACTCTGTTTTTATCAATAATAAAGATTTGAAAGAAAAATCAATAAAAAGAAGAAAAAAATCTTCGTTTAGCATCTCAGAGATTGATATATAATCAAGTAAAAGACCTAACACATTAATCTCAAGATTGATTTAAAGAGAGGAATAAGAAATAGAAATGGAAGAGAAGTTTGAGAATTTATAATTCCCTTGTTAATGTGCAAGAATATTATCAGTAGATGATGATCTCTTTAATCAAAAAGCTTTATAAGTAATCATTGGTTAGATGGGGTTTAGATTATTGATAGTAATTTTAATTTTAATTAAATAGGCATATAATGGGTATTAGGCTATTGAATTGATATAAAGTACTGAGAAATGCTCTGAATTTTGTAGATTGTTTCATTTTATTTTAATGGATTGTTAAATGCCTATAATGGATGGGTGGACAACCACAAAAATCCTTATGGATCTCATAAGAGATAAAATAATACCAGATATACCAATTATAGGATTGACTGCATTTAATTCAGCAGAGGATATCAATAGATGTTTAGAGGTTGGAATGAGAGATGTTTTGACAAAGCCCTTAAATATAAACTAGCTAAAATAAGTTTTGCTAAAATTATTTAATTGATCTATGTATTATTTATTTACTTCGTATACTAAAATATAAATTATTAAGAATAGATCTGAAAATTTACAGTTATGATTATATTGATATTAATAAGTAACTCTATTTAGATTTAAATAGAAGGGGAAAAAATGGATGATATTTTCTGTCAAAAATAATATATATAAAAAACATATTGATTTTTTTCAGACTTCATCAAAATTTTCAGCCATTGTAATGGTATCATTGTCTTCCGGAGGATTTACTACTAAAAATAAAACATTATTTATTGTAACATTATATTGTGTATTAGAAGCTATATAAAAAAAATAAAATAATACAATTTGGATTATATGGACAAATTGGTGTAGATCTTGGTCGAGTTAAATTATTTATATGATGCTTTAAATCAATTTGTTTTTGATTTTTCATGTTTTTATTTGGTTAGCTTCCCATTTTTAGTTATTTATATTATTTCATAAAATCAAACCAATTTTTTTATTTAAGTAAAGATTTTATGGCACAATTTTTTAGAATGAAAAATTATCAATATCTAATGATGTCAGTCGATAATCAAAAATTCATTATTAGATTGTAGATAAACAATTAATTGAAATAAAATTTCTATAAGCAGTTAATATTGCTGTTTTATAAATTTTATTTAAAAATATATTAGCAAATTAAAGAATTTTTAACCTACTCCATCTCTATTCTTTAATAAATGGTTAACTAATATTATTCTTAATATTTTTATAAGTTCATTTATTTTAGATGTGTTGAAGTATAAATTATATACATATTCATTTCATAAAATAAAGAAAAAGATTTAATTTATTTTGAATTAAAATAAAGTTCATATGACATTCATCGTGAAAACAAGAAAAGTTCTATTAAATAAACTCTTGAATAGAAGATAATTAGTATGCTAATTTATTTAATTATAAAGAGTGTTGAATTACTCCATCCAAATAAGGCAACTCCATCATAAGAATCAGTTGTCAAAGAATTAGCTAGTAAATATAAAGCTGATGAGAGAAATGTTGTTGTTTATGGTCTCAGAACATCATTTGGAGGTAACAGAACTACAGGTTTTGCTCTCATTTATGACACTTAATAGTATGTGCAATAATTTAATAATTCAGGTATTTACTTAAATTTGAGCCAAAATTCAGATTGAGAAGAAGAGGAATCATTCCAAAAAGAGATGGAAGCAGAAAGGGTTGGAAAGAAGTCAAATCTAAATTAAAAAAGACTAGAGGTTCAGAAAAAACAAAGATTTATATGTCAAGAAAAACAGACAAGAGAGAAGTCATAAGAGCTTAAAAGGAAACATATCTTAAGGGTTTTGTTGGAAAATGATGATCATAAAATATCAATAGTACATTATAATAAAAACAAACTAATAATAATAAGCATATTTTCATCTTGTATTTTTTATGTAATATTATTACATATAAAATTCATTTATTTATTTATATTTTCTCACTTTAAAAGTATATACCTAATAATTATTATATCATTTCAATCTTTTAATCAGATTTAATAATTTATATATTTTATTCTTTATTTAATTCTCTTTTATTAAAAATGATTTTATTTTATATTCGTTTTTAATAATTTATTTTAATTATTATGAAATTCGCAGTTCTATTGTTGATATTGTCAACCCTAGGCATTTTTGCAAAAGATGTCACAAAAATTCATGATTGGATCTAAAAGAACATCCAATCTCTAGAGAAGTATATTTAAGAGACCGATATGTCAAGCGATATGTTATTGGGCATCTAAAGGAATGATTAAGTCAAAAAGTAAGTCTCAATCTTAAGATTAGTTATTAAAATTGGATATTTTCTACAAACCATAAATAACATATAGAATTAACCGATGGACAAGTTAAGAAAACAAATGCATTCGGTCCTGAATCTGAATATTTTACAGAAACAACTCAAAATTTGGTTTTTTTAGGAACTCAAATAAAGGATAAGGAATGGATTAAAATCTAAATGAAGAAAGGTAATGATGATGCTTAAAGAATTGATATGTTCAATTAAGAGAATTATTAAGGCGTCAGTTTGATAAATTCAAATAATGAAGGAACTTTGAATAGATTATTAATAGTTGAAAAAAAGAATGAAATTATTTCATCCTATGAAGAGCATGGAAAGTCCATAATATTATTATCTAATTTGTCTGAAGGCTAATCCCTTTTTTATGTTCTTTATAGTTAAAATTCAGAAGTGAGCGACATTGAAAAGTTATTTAATTACATTGTCAAAAATGTGATTGATATTGAAAAGGAAACAGATATTAAAGTAGATGAATAACCAGTTGTTTAGGATGATGGGGAAGAAGAATTAGATCCAAATGATCTTGAAAGGTTGAAAAAAAATAAAGGAGAAGGTGAAGGTGAAGGAGAAGGTGAAGAAAAAGCTGAAGGAGATGATAAAAAAGGTGAAGAATAAGTGGAAGAAGAACAAGATTAAGAAGTACCAGAAGAAGATTGTCCTGGAGGTGAGGAAGATGATACCGTAAAAAATAAAGTAGATGTTGATCCAACATCATAATTACCACCTCAAGAGGATCCTAAGAATGTCAAAATCTAAACAAATAATGTCGATTCAGAAGAAACTGTTGAAGTAGTTGAAGAAACTGAAGAAGAGGAAGAAATCATAGTCCCAGAAAAAGCTCTAAAAGTTGGAGGAAAATCAAGCCTTCCTCCTAAAAAAAATCAAGAAGAAGATGAAAGTAGCGAACCTGAACCTCCTTCTGAAGAATATCAAAATTGTGCTGGAGAGGAATTAGATACAGTAAAAAACAAAAGAGATTTAAATGAAAATTTAGAATCCAAATAAGACAGAGTATTTTAGGCAAAAGAAGTGAGTATTTAAGAAACAATACATGAAGAAGAAGGTGAAGGGGATGGAAATACTAATGCAGATGGATAAAAGACTGATGCAGATGGATAAAAGACTGATGCTGATGGAAAGACCGACGCCGATGGAAATACTGATGCTGATGGATAAAAGACTGATGCAGATGGAAAGACCGATGCAGATGGATAAAAGACTGATGCTGATGGCAAGACTGATGCTGATGGAAATACTGATGCTGATGGATAAAAGACTGATGCTGATGGAAAGACCGATGCTGATGGATAAAAGACTGATGCTGATGGATAAAAGACTGATGCTGATGGAAATACTGATGCAGATGGATAAAAGACTGATGCTGATGGAAAGACCGATGCAGATGGATAAAAGACTGATGCTGATGGAAAAAAGACTGATGCTGATGGCAAGACTGATGCTGATGGAAATACTGATGCAGATGGATAAAAGACTGATGCTGATGGAAAGACCGATGCAGATGGATAAAAGACTGATGCTGATGGAAAGACTGATGCTGATGGAAAGACCGACGCCGATGGAAATACTGATGCTGATGGATAAAAGACTGATGCTGATGGAAAGACCGACGCCGATGGAAATACTGATGCTGATGGATAAAAGACTGATGCAGATGGAAAGACCGATGCAGATGGATAAAAGACTGATGCTGATGGAAAGACTGATGCTGATGGAAATACTGATGCTGATGGATAAAAGACTGATGCTGATGGAAAGACCGATGCTGATGGATAAAAGACTGATGCTGATGGATAAAAGACTGATGCTGATGGAAAGACTGATGCTGATGGATAAAAGACTGATGCTGATGGAAAGACTGATGCTGATGGATAAAAGACTGATGCTGATGGATAAAAGACTGATGCTGATGGAAAGACTGATGCAGATGGATAAAAGACTGATGCTGATGGAAAGACTGATGCTGATGGATAGACCGACGCCGATGGAAATACTGATGCTGATGGATAAAAGACTGATGCTGATGGAAAGACTGATGCTGATGGAAAGACCGACGCCGATGGAAATACTGATGCTGATGGATAAAAGACTGATGCTGATGGAAAGACTGATGCTGATGGAAAGACCGACGCCGATGGAAATACTGATGCTGATGGATAAAAGACTGATGCTGATGGAAAGACTGATGCTGATGGAAAGACCGACGCCGATGGAAATACTGATGCTGATGGATAAAAGACTGATGCTGATGGAAAGACTGATGCTGATGGAAAGACCGACGCCGATGGAAATACTGATGCTGATGGATAAAAGACTGATGCTGATGGAAAGACTGATGCTGATGGAAAGACCGACGCCGATGGAAATACTGATGCTGATGGATAAAAGACTGATGCTGATGGAAAGACTGATGCTGATGGAAAGACCGACGCCGATGGAAATACTGATGCTGATGGATAAAAGACTGATGCTGATGGAAAGACTGATGCTGATGGAAAGACCGACGCCGATGGAAATACTGATGCTGATGGATAAAAGACTGATGCTGATGGAAAGACTGATGCTGATGGAAAGACCGACGCCGATGGAAATACTGATGCTGATGGATAAAAGACTGATGCTGATGGAAAGACCGACGCCGATGGAAATACTGATGCTGATGGATAAAAGACTGATGCTGATGGAAAGACTGATGCCGATGGAAATACTGATGCTGATGGATAAAAGACTGATGCTGATGGAAAGACTGATGCTGATGGAAAGACCGACGCCGATGGAAATACTGATGCTGATGGATAAAAGACTGATGCTGATGGAAAGACTGATGCTGATGGAAAGACCGACGCCGATGGAAATACTGATGCTGATGGATAAAAGACTGATGCTGATGGAAAGACCGACGCCGATGGAAATACTGATGCTGATGGATAAAAGACTGATGCAGATGGATAAAAGACTGATGCTGATGGATAAAAGACTGATGCAGATGGAAAGACTGATGCAGATGGATAAAAGACTGATGCTGATGGAAAGACTGATGCTGATGGATATAAGACTGATGCTGATGGATAAAATGATGGATAGAGAGAAGGAGTAGTAAATAGTGATACTTAATAATCAAAGAAATCTGAAAATGAAACAAATAAAAACGAAGTTGATGTAATAAACATATATAATTTTTAGGAACCTTGTGTAATTTTATATTCAGAATGCCACTATACTGGAGATGAATTGAAATTATGTGGTGCACATCCTGTTATTCCAAATGATATGAAAAATTTTAAAGTTAAATCTATCAAAGTTCCAGAAGGTGTTCAGGTAACATTCTTTAATAAGCCTAATTTTGACGATGAAAGATTACATGCAAAAACAGAAATGGAATGTTTAGAAACACCTTTAAGATTGAATTTACTAGAATTGATGAATAATCTAAGAATGTCAAAGCAAGTTAATATAAACTCTATATCAGTTACCAAATGATAATTGCATATTTAGTTTATATTTACAAAATATTATTCTTATAACCAGATCTTCAGTCTTGTAGATTACATCATCATAATACAAAATTTACAATAGATAAACAAAAGTTCTTTTATAAAATTAGATCTTCAATTCCAAAATATAAAAATAAAAGAAAAATCTAATTAGTTTAGCCAATCAAATTTTACTTTCTATAACCAAAGAAATACTATTAATATTAAACTTTAATAATTAAAAGTTCATATATCATGTATTTAAGTTTTGTTTTAAATAAATAGGATTATTTATTTTTTTATTTCTTTGTAATGCTCAATTTCAAAAGAATATATATGTGTTAACTTTAGTTCTTAATTTAATCATTTATTTTTCTCACTTAATATAAGAAATTATACTACTCAAAGTTCTAAAAAATATTTTGGATTTAAAAATTCATTAATTTTTCCTAAAAAGTTATATTTATATGATAAAGATTTAAGATCATTTTTCAGAATTTTTATTTCCAGAACATTGATTGATTCCATCTTAGGATTAAGAGAGTAATATGAAATTCAAAGAGCCTTGCTGAATGCATGCAGGGCACAGATAATTTTTAATTTTTTAAATGAATGATCATAAAGTTAATCAAGTAAATCTCTACATACTGTTTAAACACATTAATTTCTTATTTTATAGTTTGTTAATTTTTAATGGATAGTCATATTTTTGTATTATATTTTAGTATTATAAGTAATTTATTTAAATTTTATAAATCCCAAGAAATAAGAAAATAATAATACTTTATAT